ATCTTAATTGGCGTGTGCCGAGGGAATCCGGCAAAAGGAGAATCCCAGCGGAGGGATGGGGCCTGGGAAGGTCCTGGCTGCCATCTAGTGGAGCAGGGATGTGTCTTTAGACTAAAATAAATATATAGGTAGCACATATCTGCGACAAGCACATTTCTCTCCCTCTCAAGAGTCTTCATAGAGGTGCACAGAGAGAAATATAGAGAAAACCATTTCTATTTCTGCTCCTTGTTTTTCCCATGTGGAATGTGTTTGCAGAATTGTTTACCTGGGGTGATGGCTTGGTTGGATTCTGGTGAGGATTGTTTGAGCCTGATGGCCAATCCAACCCACATGGGGCTGGGCTCTGGAGAGAAAGTCACGAGTTATGTTAGAGTCAGAGAAAGTAGTATGTAGTTTTAGTATCCTCCTTTTATATAGCATATTAATATATTTTAGCATAGTTATAATAAAGAAATAATTCAGCCTTCTGAATTGAGTCAGGCATCGTCATTTCTTCCCATTGGGTTCACCTACATTTACAATACATATCAAGAGAACCAATCTCTGATCTGTAGGATAAATCACATCTTTACTCGAGAAAAAAAGCCATAAAAAATAAAGTAGCCTAGAAACCAGTGAAACTGGGGACAGAACCACGTTGTAATTGCAGGAAACAAGGGAGAAAAGACCAGGAGGTAAAAGAACCCCTTGTCACTCTTTTCTGGAACACTTTGTGTCCTCCCTCTCACCTCCATGGAAAGCCACACAAGGGTTTTCATTCCAACTAGAGAAATTTGAGCTGTTTTCAGAGTAATCAGATGAAATTTCAGTTCCCCCACCCCAGTGTGTGGTCTACTGTGTGCTCTTTGCAACATAAGTGCACTTTTATTGCCAGGAAAGGGGGCAGATGTTTCAACTGGAAGTTCCCTTTGGGACTTTCTGATCAGCACTTTGTTCATCAGTGTCGATGGTCAAACCTCACACCCAGAGAAGAGGGAAAGCTTAGGGCAGGCATGTGATCTGCTTCCCAGATTCCCACTTGGCATTTTCCAAATTCTCCATTCATTTCTGCAACCTTGTCTTGAACCCACTTAGACTTTGCCTTTCTGGCAATGCTTTCAGTGTTGGGCAGGGTGTGAGGGAACTTTTCAAGGAAAAACCTTTTCACTTCCACCCTGACATTGTTCATTTTCCTTTAAAATGCTTCATTTTCCCTTAAAATGCTTCATTTTCCCTTATGGCATTTTACCTTTTCTCTGTAGGTCTCAGTGGCTAAGAAAGCAAGGTTAACACAGAATAAACAGAATATCTGGTGGCTGTTTTCCCATCAAGCTGATTTGGACTCAGAGTTCTGTTTTACTCACTGTCATCTGTTCACTCAGGAGATGGAGAAAATATTTAACTTGTTAAGTCACTCTGTGGATTAAGTGTGGGTATTTCTCTGGTTTCTAAAATCCCTTCAAATCATCAGAAATTAATTCTATTACCAAAACCAGGTGTTTCTACAATTTCCTGTAGACCTAATCCTCGGGAACATGGGGCTTTTTCTGGCTTGAATCCTGATGTATGAAAATAAAGCTTGTGCATAGGAAGGGGAGAAGAGCCACTACCTCATCCTCTCATAATTTCCTAAACTTAATTTAGGTAAAACAGCTGGAGATAAATCCCACTCCCAGCTTAAAAGTGTCATTTTAGTTTGTCCTGAACCACAGAATCCTAAAATTAGTTGGAAGGGACCTTAAAGATCATTTAGGTCCAACCCCCTTCCATGGTCAGGGAAAACACTGTTTAATTTTATTCATATAAAAGATATGCTGTTAGTAGAAGAGAATTTGCCATTAAACTTAGCAGTTACAGTGTGTGGGGAAGCATGTAAGGCACTAAGGTGGACAGAAAAAAATCAGTGTAAAAGGGTTTTTGCGTGAAGATGAAAAAAATGATGACAAAACTAGTGGGCAAAAGCCCAACAGAAAATGCCAGCTGAATGTGAATGTAGAAGAAACTAATCAAGTGCTAAAAAAAAAAAAAAAAAAAAAAAAAAAAAAAAAGGATATTTCCATTCAAAATCACTAATTGGAGGGTATTGCTTATTTTTAGGTATCTGGCAGGTGTTTTTGAGGATAGGAGCAGAAAAGTTAACCAATATAACACAATGAGTTGTGGTAAGACATTATTTTGAGACCAAGTGATTTAACTTGCACCTAAGCAGGCAGAAACTTGAAAATTAACACCTAAAACTGAATTTATTTTACTTCTGCAGCCTGCAGTGAGATCAGGTCATGCCTTCAGGCCTGGAAGCACCTTTTTATTTCTCTCTTTACTCATTGTATCGTAAACCCTGCAGCAATTTGCACACCCTGGGAATAATTTTCTGTCTTCAACCCCATTTTCTGTTGCTCTGGCCCTACTTCAAGTGAAAGCAAACCACACTTAGCCAGATTTATTCTTCAAAGGTTAAGGAGTTTCTGCTGCTTATACTTTTCATACTTGTGTTATCAAACCTTGCATGTGACAGACAAGAACATGTAGGAAAATAATCTTATGTGATAAGTGTGCACATGCTCCTAAACTCATGTTAAGATCAGTAAAAAATCAGCTAAATTCAATGCAATTCCCATCCTGAAAAGTTGAATTGCTACAGGTTTTGAATCCTGCTCAACATTTTATATTCAATATAGGATTTAGTAAAAATGTAATGCAACCCTAATTTCCATGTCATGCCTTGTCATAACTGATATTAATACTCTAATTAAAAATTTTGAGTCATATCTTGTGATTTTAACCACTTCTGTTTCCATTTTCAGCCATCCCCAATGGAAATATTCCCTGGATAGTAGCTAGGGTTTATTTCAGGAAGGGACAAAATTAGATCTTTAAGATTCCTGCTCTTTTTCATGCCAGAAAAGCTGAGATGACTGGAGAAGGACAAAGATTCAGTGTGTAATAATCCTATTTAGGTGGAAATGGATGCCACAGGTACTAGAATGCAGCCAAATAATTGTGCCTATTATAGATTATAGAGATCCAATGGAAACTATTTGGACAGAACAACTACTTTTGATGCAGAGGGATTTGGATCAATCACTTAATCCAAATTTCTCTAAAAACATGAGCCCTGAGAAGCCCCTCTGTTCATGTTCTTTCATATCTGTTACTAACCCATCCTGTTAAAGTCAGAGTCAACGTGGAAACCCCATTTCAGAATTTCAGGGCTAATTACATCTATTTGATATGGTCAAGAGTCTTAATATAACACTTTAAAACACAGGGAGACCAGAAAGTACCATCACACATTCAGAAATCTGCTGAGCTTCACAGTGGTTGATCTGTTCAAGAGAAGAAGGAATTTAATTTGTTTTTTATTGCTTTTTGTCTTATGCTTTTAGGGCATGATGGTGTTCACAGTAAATTTGCTGATTTTCCCACCAGCAGCAATGCAGCAGCTGCAAGAAATTTTCTATCAAAACATTTATGGGGAGAGATGGGTAAAATTTATCTGTCTTTCCTGAGTTATTATCATTTTAGCTGGCAAAGACCGTGATATTTAGGAGGCTGAAAATCATTCCTGCCCAGGAAAGAGCTCCTGTTTATTGGTTATGCCACTTTTCCACCAGAGCTGGGTGCTGTGGGACACTGAAAGCCATGTGAAGGACTCTGTTAGTCCTTTTCTCTCCACCCAGATCAACTTGAATTCTTCTGGATAATTGAAGGAAACCAGTAAAAAACAATGTCATGGTCTCCACATTATAAAATGCGTTCCAAGGAATCACTTCAGAAATGGAAATAAACTTCTCCCACCCTCAGGTCTGAATCCAGGCATTGCTGTAATTTTCACAGGTAGAAGAATAACAAGGAAAAGAAAAAACACTTTTTTTTTTTTTTTTTAAGTGGAAGAGGAAAATCCTGAGCAGTCAACTTTTATACAATGTTCCATTTCTTCAGGTTAGCTGTAATTACCTGGATTCAGCAAAGGGAATTTTCTGGTTTTTAATCAGACTTGGCAGCTCACTGAAATGTTCAGAAGTGCATTGTTGCAATGATCCTCACTGGTTGGTACAGCTTAACTTTCTTCACTCCTTTCCAGGCCCTGATATTCCCATCAAAAATTTAATCAATGTTTTAATCTACAGGTTACAATACCATTGTGGGAAAAACACAAAAACAAAATAAACCAAAGCAAAATGACTCAAGTACAAACACTGTGAATCCAAGTTTATTTTCAAGCTTCTGAATATTTTACAACACTGGAGAGCAAAAACAGTCACACATAAGAAAATATTTAGCAATATTCCCAGCAGTCTCCCAGTCCATCTCCTAGGGGTCTGATTCTCTTTCTGTGTAAAAGTTGGCTTTTTCTTTTCATTTCCTTGCAAAGAACTTCCTTAATGATTTTCACATGGAACCTTGGCCTTCCCAATGCCTCCCTTTCCTGATACTTGGCTGCCAAAAATTTTCTAACCTGTAACTCTTGAAATAACATCAGAACCTGAGAGTGTTTTCTGGAGAAATTGAATCTTTTTGCTACTAAAGACACAATGTAAAAAGACAACATGAAAGGGATTTTTGTGATGCAGTTCAGCAAGACTTTGGGCTTCTTATTTATATGTCTGCGAAATCAAACCATGGAACAAAGCTTGAAGAAGCTGGGTAGACTCCAGCTCCCAGTAAATTAGAATTGAATTCTGTTTTCCAGAGATGGTCATCTATGGTATCACTGGAGGGTGCTGCTGGTGGCCATTCATAAAACTTTGTGCTATATCAGTGAAAGTGTAGAAATGAACCAGAATAAGTGATTTTTATATTTGCTGTGCTGCAGAGTTATCACTGAGAGGGTTATTTTGCTTTAGAAGATCAGTCAGGGTTTAATCTGTCCCTGCAATGCTTCTCTTATGAAAAAAAGACCCATGGTCAGAATTGAAGGATCCTCCCACCAATTTGCTGAGGATAAACTGTAATAAATACATTTGGTAAAATTTTGTTTGGTTGGGTTTTTCCCCCTCCAGAGCCTGAGGGCATTTTCAGCACACAGATGTGGTCATTTTCACCCCAGAGCTGGAGGGCACCGTCCACCTGGTCCTCCTCCACACTGGCACCAGCCCGTACCTCTTCCCGTGCCACCTCCGGCCGATTTCCGTTTGCACCTCAGGAACAAAGGAAAAGGCTTTTTGTGGTTGGATTTTCCTGGGGAGCAGACAGTGGGAAAGAAGCAGGACAGAAAGAGGGGCTAGAAAAGAATAAAGTTTTTAAACATCTCTGTCCAAGTCAATTTCCTTTTTAGCTGATAGAGAGAAGTGGAATCCTGTCTCAGCATGGCCATCTTTCTGCTCTGATGAAAACTCCTGAAGTTCTATCAGTACTAATTTGAGGTCTCTAGCACTATAAAACATTTTTTCCATTACTAAAATATCTTAGCTTTCTTCATGCACCTTCTCCTTTTTTTTTAATATTCCCATGAATATTTATTCTACCATCGATCTCACCAACGTAGCCTACACAATTAAATATATTTTCTCCACATAGCCTGCTCTTTCTCAGTTGCCAAAGGATGTTGTCTTGGTTCCATCTGCTTCTAGAAAAGTATAATCTGCAGTAAGTTTTTTAATCAGCATTCACCAATTTGTGGCTGGGAAATAATGCTGCTTTGCCATTTGAGATGATGAGGGAAAAGCCAGCAGCAGTCAGGAGGCATTTGCTGTGTGTTGTTGACAGCTGTGTCATTGTGTATGGTGTACTGGCATGTTCACAGGAGCACAGAGTCCAGGCCACCCACTAAATCCTCCTGTCACATCTGATTCTTGTTAGGAATGCGCCTCCCCAGATGTTGAATAGGGAGGGAATTTCTGTATGGAAGTGCTGTGTGCCTGGGAAGTCGAGCTGGATGTGAAGCTGTGGTCTGTGGTTAGAAGGGATTAGGGTTATTAATAAACTAATGACAGGAATTTTATCTAAACACAAGCATCATTAGAGAAGCCAGTAATTCATGGCCATAAACCCAACCAAAAGGCTAAGAATATTAATTAATTTTTAAAAAATTAATTTAATATTTCAGAAATTTCAGATAGAATTCATAAACTTTGGCCTATGTCACATGTAGGTGATGAAATACTGTTTGAAAGCTTAATCAACCCTTGACTTTAAACTTTAAACTGGAAAATGAATGTTTAGCAATACAGTCCAGGGAATCTAGAGTGGTCAGGGATGGGATTTATCTCCTAAACACACCTCAGACACTCCAGGGATGCCCTTTCTGGGGAGAAGGGTGGGCAACTGTGGAACAGGATTCTCCTTTTCAGGGGCTGCAGACAGAATCCAGCAGAGTGTGTCTGAAACTGAACCCCAGCCATATTGCAAAGGAGCAATCTCAGCTACTCTGGAGTCAGAAAATTAGGGAAAATCCCAGAGTTTCAACATATTCTAAATTGTGGAGGATAAACTTTCATGTTTTCTGTATAATTCCTTCAAGATGCGTTATTATAACATCTAGATTGTGTAAATGGACATGGACACTAAGGTAAAAGGAAAGACTCCTCTCCCATCAACAGTAAAATTCGGATTTAGTAATTCTAAATAGAAAACCAGATTTACAAGAATTCTACTCAAATTTTACCAGTGAAATTCTGGCTTAAACATTCTAAACAGAAAATGAGATTTACCAGAATTTTACACGAATTTTACCAGTAAAATTCTGATTTTAACATTCTAAACAGAAAAACAGATTTTCATTTAACATGAAGAAATACTGAGATGCTTCATGAGACTATCAAAAATAGTAAAAAAATATATTTCACAACCGGGGAAAGGTATGCATTTAAATTTTTTCCAATTTGAACATAGACCTTTAGTAAGTTGGTATCTCTCTGCATCACTGAAGACAGTTGTATTTTCAGATCTGGACTTAGCAGGGGTTTTCCAAGCTCTGCTATAGGACAAAAATGTGCCAAAAGGATCAAAAATACTTGACAGAATAGCAAAGTAGTAAAAGTTCATTTCTCCACTAGATGGCTTAATTCCCATGAAGATCATTGAAATTAAATTCACCAACATTGTTACCCACGTAACAGTCATAGGAAAATGAAAGATTCTGTTATTATTTATATGAAACTGATTGTTAACTATATATTTGCCACTGAATGCAATATTGTAGAAGATATATCTGATATAGTTTCCTTACCTCTTGGTTCAGGAAACAATAGAGAACTGCCACAATAAACCCCTGAAAAAGACCACAAGAAAAAGTTTTGAGGGTTAACACAGTCTGAAAAAGCCAGTTACATTATCTAACATCATGGTATGTGAATTAGTGAGCATCACTATAGGTGGGAGATTGCTGGAAGTTGGAAGATAATTTATGGATCTCCAAAAAAGCTGAAAAACTGCAAAGATAAACACTTGGTTAGTGGCATTTCACCAGAATCAGTCCCACGCTCTGGATTCACAACTGTGAATGATGATTATGGAAGTGTGGCCCACTCTCCAGCCCAACACGCTGCCAGCTGATTCTTTATGCACTCTAAAGAAAGTAAAAAGGAGACTTCTGAAGGAGATCCATGGATGGAACTCACACAGCTCTCCAGCCAAATTCTGTCTCTGTGTAGATTACCAGAGGAGATCAAATTCTGGCCTATTAAATGTATTTTTTAAGATTCTGAACTGAGGTAAATCCAGGACAAATCCTAGGAGGTCAAAGGACCTGCATGACCAGATCTTGGCTCAACACCTTGACCTTTTATTCCATTAAATTATTCATTAACTGTTCATTAACTCAGTGAAGGTCCCCTCCCTGTACAGAGGGTTGGGATTGATGGAGAGCGTTTGTTGGGCAGGACTGACACAATGGATTCAATCCTCAAGAGGAATAAACCAGAACAAAACTCGTGGATGGATGGTGATGCTCCCTGAGAGCCATCCCATAAAAAATTCCATGGAGCCATCCAGATCTGTTCCCTGGGGAGGTTTGGAGGCATTTCCACAGCTGCTGCTTTGGGCTGAGGTGCAGCACAGGGAACGGGAAGGAAGCAAAGGGAAATTCGGCCCTGCCCAGCTCATAACTCAGGGAGAAAAATCACCTGGAATCCACCTGCTCCATCAGAGTAGGAGCTTTTCTTGTTGCCATCCAGTTCCTCAAGCTGTGCCAATCCAGAGCAGTGGGAGGCATTTGCAGGAGGGGAAGGGATGTGGCATTCCTTGGGACAGCAGCCTGTGTGGGGCTGGTGCACACACCAGGCACTGCTTGATGCTTACGTTTAATTATCAATTAATTCTTTGACAAAGAATTAGCAAGGGGGCTGGACCTACAGCTTTGATTGCTCTGGAGGATTTAAATCAACCCAAATTAGCTTGAATTTGTTAGTGAAGTCAGGGAAGGCAGGTGGACAAGTACTGGTATCAAGGAAGATTTTCCATGCTTGACTTTGTCCCCCCATTAAATTTACACATTTATCTGAAATTTGGTACTTGTAAAATCTGGAGGCCAGTCTAGAGCCAGGTAGGATTTGTCACCTCTTCAGACATTTTAACTCAGCAAAGAACCAGGAACTTTGTGAGCAGACACTGGTTTCAGGACCTGAGGATTCTTTTTGTGCAGTTTTTGTTGTCATGAGGACACAAGGCTAAAATAGAAAAACTGGTAAGAAGGAAACAAAGGATCTGTGGTAACTTTACCTGAAAAGATCCAATGCAGAGCTCCAAATAAAGCCGAACCCCCAGGCTGGTATATTCTGGGAGGAAGTTGAAAACAATGTAATGGGTTCCAAATAAAGGAATTAGAAGCAGAGTCGACCTTGAGAGACGTCTAGCACAGGAGATGAGAAGAAATAAGGTAATATTATTTTTATAAGTGAAAACTAATGCACTCAGTGTGCCACAGTAGTGAGCAGAAGTGAAAAAGAAACTAGTATAGATAAAGAAACTAGTATATATAAAAATATATATAAAATAGAAATAAATATGCTGGCTTCCTTTACAGTTCTCATACAGAGAAAGGCAGCTATAGAGGAGAATCATTCATGTCCTAAATAAGAGGTTTAATGACAATTCAGTTAATTTAGTTGTCTCCCCATTGATTTTAATTGGAAAGCAGACATCTGAGCTGATCTGAATACATCCTATTGGCCAATATGAGATGACTTGAATCTCACCCTTTGACTAATTTCCTTTGGAATGGGATAAGGTTGGGAATTCTAAAATTTAATGCCAGTTAAACTGAGCTTGTCTGTGACTCTGAGCAAGTACTTTTCTGTTTAGAAAAGACAACATAACTTTTTATTATTATAACTAAAATAATTGAGTTTATAAAAATTATTCCATACATCACCTGTACTGAGAAGAATTATTGAAGTTGATTTGTCTAGGGTCTAGTTTTTTCAGCAAAATTCTGATGATGTTGATAAATAGGATAAAATTGACCTGTTCACAACATTTGAGGGGTGGGAGGGAAGGGAAAGAAAAGGTTAATTTCTGATGTAAAACTTTGCAGTAAAAATCTGGTGAGTTTTTGTTGGTTTTTTTTAAATTTTATTTTAGTTACACTGTAATTTCTGCAATTTCAATGTAAGGTCAATAATGCTATTCCTTCTTGCAGCATTCAAGTATTTAAATAAGTTGCATTACTGCTTGAAGTAATGGCTGAAGATGAAAACTGGAGACTTTCCCTTTGTTCAGCAAAATATTTTCATTGCTAGCGTGTGTGACTCTCTTTTACCATTTGTAGCTCAAATCAGTTGAATTCTCCTTAGGGACAAATATTACATTAAATTCTGGCTGATCTCTCTGGGCACTATTAGTAGAATTTTTAGCCTAAATACCTCTACAATGAGATATTTCTATCAGGGGTGATCACCCTGTTCTGCCTTTGCAGTTGGTGGAGAACCAGCCAGGAGAGTTAAGAGAGCTTCAGGTGGGCCTGGGGGCAGGTCACCTCCTCCCAGGGTAGATATTTGTTTTAAATCAGGTGAATCACTTGCCAAAAGTGTATTTTTCACTTTTCTGGCTCTGAAGGAGCCCTTGAGGGGCATTAGCTCAGCTCCAAAGCAGTTAGAATCAATCCTAACTTGCAGTTCAATTCTTCTACAGTTGTAATTTGGCACAGCTTTATGCAAAGTCTGTGATGCTGCTCAGCTTTCCACAACCAGAAGGATTCTCCCCATGCATTTATTTTGAGTACCTGTACACACCAGCCCTTCCATGGGTAAGGCTGAATGTTTACTTTTGTCTACAAATATCCTAATTTTACCAGAAAGTCCAACCTCATTCTATTTATTAGTGATGCTCTATGTGAATTCCAGCAGAAGAAATAACAGAGGTAGAAGGACATGAAGTATTTTATTGAAACCCAGTGAGATCTGATCAGAATTCAACTTGAGATTCTTCACTCACATTGTTTGTGTTTATCTTTAAAGTCCCTTCAAATACAAAGCATTCTGTGATTCCAAACCCCTCATTTGCATGCATCTGTCCTCCAATTAAAATAATGTTTTTATAGCTGATCTTAAGGTCATCCATTAACTGCTTTCTCAAACACTGCTTGGGTTTAATGACTTGTGGCAGTAAACATTTATGATAATAATTTAAAACCCATCAGTTTATTTAATAAATGTCAGGCTCAAGAGCTGTTATCAGTTGTCAGCTCTGAATAAAAACCTATTTCCCTTGAAAGTTTTGTATTAAAATTTATGTCTGACTCTGAGCTTTTATGCTAAAATATTTTTTTCAAATATTGTAAGGAGTGTCTAGTCCACTCACTTACTATTAATTTTAACTAAACTGACAATTCTATGAAAGTTTTAATTTGTTTGAAAGACAAACATTTTAGTTTGCACTGGACACAGGTAGTTAACAGTAGAAATTTACTATTCGTCTTCCTACAACTCAGCAAAGAAACTCAATTTTAATACAAAAGCCTTTTTTTTCTTCTAAGTAATATCAGCAAACTCAGAAGTACCTACCCCCACAGAAATTATAATTGGTCCTTTGATTAGCCACCAATAAGGAGAGCCTTGATTAATATCCCAGCATCTGTGAATATGATAGTAAGTTTAGAAAAAAACATGTATGTTATCACTGCAATCAATTAAAAATATAACCCAAAAGTATAGAATAATGTGGGAAACAATGACTTACGCTGTGTCTTCGAAGTAGAATTTTGTCAATATCCATACAAGGGTGAAAAGTGTTGGAAAACCTGTCAGATATTTTAAAATAAGGTATAATTAATCCAAGCCTTGTCCACTGAAACTCTGCTGCAATGATGAAAATCAATAATTTTTGAGAGCTGGAATTACCTTTTGGGTTCAGTTCCTGTAACAGGAATTATTTTAAATACAGTCCCTAAAACACAAAAAATGCTTCTGTTTGCTGAGTTGTCAGGCCTAGCTTAATCTTTGGTGGCAGCAGGCATGGATTTCCCTCCCTGAAGCAACAAAAAATTCCTCTGGCCAAGTGCATTCACCTGCCATAGAGGAGTGTTCTGCTTTTTCCTTCCCACAGCAACTATCTGTGGGCAGCCACTTGATTTCAGATTTCTAAGTCTGAACAATTCAATTTATTCCAGACAACAACAAAATCAGAGGGGAGGATGTTGCTGATTCACTGCCTGTCGTGTTATTAGTGGACAGAGCTGCTTCATTCATGCAATATTTTAGTGCAAAAGATGGGCTGTAGAAATACCAGGAATAAAATTAAAAAAAAAAATCTGCTCAGGAAAAAACAATTCCCTTTCCCAACCTGTGTAACCATTCTGCACAAACAGCAGCAAGGCACATTGAACTCTGGTGTTTGTGATAACTCCTTAGAGGTGACCATGTTTTCAGTGGGGTGAAGAAGGTTAAGACTGGAGGATGCCTACTTGTGCATTCTCAAATATAACTGATTTTCCATCCCTTTCACAGGGGCTTTATTGCCATAAAAAACTTGATTGCTTCTGGCTAATACGTACATAAAAATAAAATGGAAGCAACACACAGGTTAGGTACTTTAGTTAGGTCAATTGGGTTCCACATCCAATATTTTTAATTGGAATGATCATGGAATCATAGAACCATAGAACTGTAGAGTCATAGAATCATAGAATCATAGAACCATGGAATCATGGAATCATGGAGTCATAGAATGGCCTGGGGGAGAAGGCACCTTAAAAATCACCTGGTTCAAACCCACAAGGACACCTTCCACTATCCCAGGCTGCTCCAAGCCCCATCCAACCTGGCCTTGGACACTTCCAGGCATGGGGAGTCCACAGCCACCCTGGGCAACCTGTGCCAGGGTCTCACCTCCCTCACAGCACAGAATTCCCATGTCCCATCACTCCATTCCTTGGGAAAAGTCCCTCTCCAGCTTTCCTGTACCCCCTAGAAGTTGCTCAGTGGTCTCTGTGAAGCCTTATCTTCTCCAGGCTGCACAACCTCATTTCACACCCTGACTTTCACCAATTTCCTGTAAAATCTGTGCCTACCCCAGCCAAAGAGAACCAGCCACCAAAAATATCTTCTTCCATGAGACAGGGATGAGAGCAGCAGGCAGTTTAGGTAGAGAGCCTCCACCAGCAGCCACATGAAATTGGTCATCATGAAGTAGTGGCAGAAAACCACGGAGATCTTGCATTCAGTCTGGGGAGCAGGAAAGTCACAGTTTAGGCATTGCTTGGAGAAACATCTCTTTGGTTTGACCATGAGGTAGACATCTGTGATATTGGCTGAGTTCTACCAAGAACAAGATCTCACTATTAATTCAGGTTTAAACTGAGAGCTTCAAATGTGAAATGGATTTCTGAGAAGTAAGTCTTTAACCATCATAACGCCTTGGAATCCCCTCTGCATTTTGCTTTCTATCTCTGTGTTAGAAATGTAACTTGGGCTGCATTGAGTTCTCTCACAAATTCACTGCCTTGAGTGTACCTTCAGTGTCAAATGCTCCTTGAATAAAAGTTCAAGGACCCATTTTTCTCCTTCTGCTCAGATCTAAAATTCTGTGTGGCTGTGAGCAGTGCAGAACCATCCCATAAAACTCTGCTTGAAAACCATTGCCAAAATCTGGGGCTGGATAAATGCTAAATTCATTGCCTGGTACCTTGAGTGCTTTGTGGTTTACAGATAGAGCTTCCAACCAGAACAGGAAACCCGACATTTCCAGAAGAATAAGCTTAAAAAGTTGTCCTTTGATGTACTTAGAGATCTTCAATTTTATGCTTCAGATTATTGAAACATAACAGTGTAGTGATACTACTTTGTTGCTATGTGAAAGTCCAAATTTCATTTAGAGTACTGCAACATCACAAATTGATGCCGTAATATAGGAAGGCATAATGTACCTATTTATGGAAATAAAATATACTGAATGAAAGGATTTTATAATTTTCATTACCAGGTTAGAAGGGGGGAAAAACCACTCTCAGTAAGTAGTAAAAAAGAGGGAAAAAAAGTGAAACCATAAATAAATGGTACATAAAACCATCAAATACAACAATATCCTGCTTTTCATGTGCTTACTGTGGAGAAGCTGCAGTGATCAATGCCTTCCTCCTGGAAAAGGACAGCATCCTTAATGAAAATGGCAATAGCCTTTAAGATGAATGTAAAAAAGAGCTGTACATGGATATAATTCCTGGGACAGCGAAGCCTCCTGCAAGAGAAGAAGAGAGGTCCCTCTGAGGTAATTAACTTACTTGTTAACTAAGCTGGCAGCAATTAAAATAAACAAAAAGCTCATGTTTTATCTCAGGTACTTCCAGACACATTTAGGAAGAACTTTTTGATCCACTGAGCTCTTTCAGAAAGAGGCAGAAAACTTCCTCATGTGAAGCAAATCAGCCACAATCTACATCTTAATCTCTTTACTTGTTAACCAGAATTATAGTTGCTGCCTTACTTTGTCAAAGTTATTTTGATGAATTAAGTAAAAGCACAGAAGAACTTTAAAACAATTTGGCAGATCTACTTTAAATTCAATTTGAACATCTACTTTAAATTCAATTTACACCTACCTTAAATTCCCAGTTAAATAAGATTAAATTTTTGCTGTAATTATATACAGATTTTGGAGGGAGTTATACAGCTTCATGTTTTCATTTGGAGATGAGGATTTGAGTTAATGACCAAAAAGTTCCACTAAAAGCCAAATTCTATCCAGACCCAGTAATCAGAGGGTCACCTAATCTGAAAGTTCACCTGGAGTGTGCAAAATTTTATTGCTGACCTCAAATGTCAACCCTATTGTTAATTATGACTTTTTCCTCCCTATTACTACGTCGCCTTATGTCCATTGTTTTTTCTTTCCCCTCATTTGGGCTGGTTTGTTTTCCTGAGGTCAGAGTGGATGTCAATAAACATATCTGGTGGCTTCCAGACATGAACTAGGAACTAGCATAGGTCAAGAAATTTTCCCTAGAGAATCCTGATTCTCACAGCATAATAATAAAACTCCTGCCTTTGCCTTCTTTTTTTCTTTTTTTTTTTTTTTTTTTGTCTCACAGGAATACAAGAAATAAACAAAAATTAATAAAATAAATCCCATGTGGTGAAAAACATTAAATCTACATTAAATGATAAAATACATTAAATACTCTTAGTTAGACCTGAAAATACCTATAAAATAGGTATAAAATACCTAACACAGTAAGAAAGAACTCTCACCAAATGTGACAAAATTCTGAAACTAACTTTAAAACACGTCTTTAGTGGTAAATGTTTAAATAGTAATCTATACAATGCCATAGGAACATTCATTCAGAATCAAGACCTTTTTGCATATTTTTATTAAAAATTCCCTGGAGCCATAACAGGCAGGCATGCATAGTTTATGGAAAAAATCTTGATTCCAGCCTAAAGCAAGTAAATTTTTCTGTTGGTTCTTCAGGATCAAAGTGAGTTGCTGAGCTTTGCCAAGAGACAGCCAGGGTTTATTTCCAAGATCTGAATCTTCTTATTCCTGGCTCTCTCTGATGCCTTTTAATTTCCAGCTTCAGTTTCATATTATTTAACCAACATGGCTGAAATGTTTTGTTTTTATTCACCTGAATTTCTATTTGTATTATTTTGTTATGTCTAATGCTGTATTCCACAGTCTAAGAAATTAAAACCTGTGAAAAGAATTGAGGTTAGAGGACACCTCTACCTGAATGCAATCAGAACAGTCACAGCAATGATGAGGGAGGTGATGGACACGCTGTATCCCACAGTGTAGATGATCTTTATAGTAGAAAAGTAGGATTGCTAGAAAAGAGAATGATTTGTCACACAAGTTGCTGTTAAATGACAGCTTTTTACTGATTCTGTCAGTTTTGCTCTGCTTGGTGCTTCCATTGTGTTGACGTCCCTGACTGCTTTTTTCCCCCTCTTCAAATCCTACAGCAAAGTTCAACTTAAATCTTAATTATGTATATCTTAATTTAATCTTAAATTAAACTTAATTACATTTCTTTGGTATAGTCCCATTCCATAGTTGTGTGGATACAGCCCAGTCTGGTGCTGAAACATGTATTGATTAGGGTCATTTGAAGCCCATTCACAAAATCACAAAAACCCACAGCAGCCTTCAAAAAGTCATAGTTCAAAATCTTATGCAAATTTTATAAATGCTGTGTTCTATACCATGTTTTCTCCCCAGTAGTAGCAGGACAATGCTGCTGGCAGCATGGTGAATACAGAAATCTCTCAGCCTTTCTCTATTTTTCTCCACTTTTCTATTCTCTGTTTCCTTACTTTAAATCTTGCTGTCTATTCCTCCTTTCATCTTTTATTATGATGTGGTGGGTTGTTTTTGGTTGTTTTTTTTTTGTTTTTTTTCCTTTCTGGGGTTGTTTCTTTCCTCTGCTTTTCTTGCTGCCAAACTCAACTGCTGCTCAGTTGGAATGCCAGTCAAAATCCATTTCAAATGGCTCCTCTATCAGACACGATCCCTGAGTGAGGATAAGTTGACTTTAACTATCTCAGATGAAAGCACAAAACAGAATGAGCCAGCTCTAGGCTGCAAATCTAACTCCAGTCTAACATGATCTGTCTCTTGGGTCCCATTTCAATGCTTTTATAACCTAAAATCTGCACAGCTGTGCAGTACATTCCTACAGTTCACTTGGGGAAGGTGAGATGCTCATTTTGAGCCATAAGGGGAACTTTACGCATTATAAGACTGGCATTTACTTAATTTATTTAGGTGCTTAAAAATTAGCTGCCTAAATATGAGTCTTTATTAGAATAAGAAGAACCTGGCCATAGGGCTGATCTGTTTAATTTTTAATACAAACCTGTTTTTTTCCCAACCCTTTTCCTTTTATAGTTAATGAAGGAAAACACTCTCAGAAGACAATTCAAGTCTTTAGAAAATGAGACGTTATTGATTTCTGTGACCAACAAAAAGGATCTATCACTACACCTGCCTTAGAAAGAGCAGGTCATAGAATCATAAATCCTTGACTGGTTTGGGTTGGAAGGAACCTCAAATATCATCTACTTCCAACTCTTGGATTAGTAAAGTGAAACCTTTTATGCCAAGGACTTTGCATCCAAGTGTGCAGATTTATGATTATCCACAGTCTAACCTAATGGGCTGAGCTGTTATTATTGGTCAGAGCACAGCAGGTGCACCCTGAATTTGCCTTCCAGTTCAATTTTATCCATTAAGAAACCAGATTATCCTTACTGAGAGCATGCCCCAGTGTGAATGCAGTAAGTGGGGACAGCCAAGAGATATCCCTGGAAAATTCCCCCCTGATCCTGACCAAAGCACTGAGACAGATCCATGGTGCAGAGATTAGCTCTGACTTTCACAGTATTCTTTTGAGACTGATTAAGTTAAATGGGGTGGAAAAAAGGCATAATGGGGTTTTTTTTGTCTAGTGGGTGAACTGTGAGTTGTATAGGATTACCCAAATCCCTGACTATGCACAATTCCAAACAGAGCTCACTGAAGTACCTCAGAGCTCCAAAGCTTGCTGGGAATTCTGGATGCACCACTCCATGAGGAACATCAAAACTGCACGAGGCTGACCATAGATGGCAACAAATCAGATGTGTAAAACTGAAAAGAATCAACTCCTTAAATAGATAAACCTACAACTGAGGAGTTTCCTCTAGGTAGAATAATGGAATCATCACAGAATGAGTGTGGAGGGACCTTAAAGCTCATCCAGTGCCACGTCCTGCCATGGGCAGGGACAACTTCCACTGTCCCAGGGTCCAAACCCCATCCAACCTGGCCTTGGAGACTGTCAGGGATCCAGGGCAGCCACAGCTTCTCTGGGCACCCTGTGCAACATCTCCTCATGGTGATATGAACCATGATTTTATCCTTATTAATAAGGGGTCAAGGACTATATTTTTCCTGTGCCTGTAATCTCAAGATAACACCAACACTGAAAATCTGGCTGAAGAAATATGTCACATTCTGATCTGCATTGCAGAGATTACAGAGGTTTGGGGATTTTTTTTCCATTGTTGAATTAGATATTTCACGAAGGATGAGACACCCAAACCCCCTATTTTCCTTAGATATCGCTAAATTTGGAACAGTGCTCTTTTAATAGCACATTTTCTGTACTGATGCTGTGCTACCACAAATTCATCTTGCTGAATGATATTACTGAAATGTATTAATACAAATTTTTTGAAGATTTTGTGCTACATCTTTCTCTGTTATACTTGTGCATTTGCAGCTGGCTTTATTATTGTTACACCTGAATAATAAAATATTGTCAGTCATCTTACAAAATAGGTGGCCAGAGTAAAAATTGGAATTATATCCTATACTTAGAAAGAAATTTCAGATTCTTCTGAGTTCCCCTCTGCAGTGACCTTCAGGAATAGAAAGGAATACTTTAACATCAGCACACCATTCACATATATTTATGGAATTAAACTTACTTCTTCAAGAGGAATTTCATCTTCTACTGGACATGCCACATGGTAGGGAGGGAATGGGTCAGACCAGCCCTTTTTTGTGCAGTTTCTTTTTATCATCCCAGCTGAAAAAGTAGTATTTTATTTTCTCAATGCAGGACAAGATAATATGGAAAATAAAAACCAGGAGACCTCTGGCTGGTACAAAGTTGTACCAGGAGAAGAAGATCATTAGCATCATTAGAGTGAGTAGAACAATTTTCCTGTGCACATTCAGGACATCAGACACAACATTTTGTATTTTATTTGAAGACAAACAATGGGAAGAAGGGAGAGAAGGAAGAGGTGATGGGAAGGACTAAGGAAGGAATTATATCAGGCACACTGCAGAAATTAGAAATCACTGCTCCTAATGAATTTCTGCTCTGCACAGCACTCACCCTTCTACCATATCCCTTCTCATTCCCACCTCCCCTGGGGGTTACTCTTCCCTAGGAGATCAGAAACTGGGATAAGCAGCCCCTTCCACAAGGACAGCACGTGTCCACAAAAAATATTTATGAGTCAGACGAAGGAGAAGTCGAGAATCCCAGGGCAGGAAATGAATCTGCACAGATGAAAGGGATTTTCCTTATCCCTCATTTATAACTAGCATGTGTTGGATGTGGCAGAGGTTGGGCTTTGCAGTTTCTTTTTCTTGTGGAACTGCCAAATCCAGGTCTTTCCTGGAGGGTGGTTTGCTCATTGTGGGCTCACATTTTGGTACTGGCCATGCTCACGCAGAGAGGAAGCAGGCACAAAGGCATTTGTTTGCAGTTTTGCAGCATGTGTGCTGCTCCAAGGCCTAAATTCTGCTTTGTATCCGCAACCTTGGTCTTAAAGAACAATCACATTGTTCATTCCTCTGCCTTTCATTTCATCCCACACCCATCACAGCATAAATCTCAAGAAACCCCAAGCTTAAGTTCTGACCTAGACAGCCTCCAGATGAGCTTTGTAGGAAACTCACACAACAAACTGATCCCAAAGCACATGGAAACCAAAGAATCACTCCTTGTGTTTCAGTATATTTTTGATCCAGGGCCTCATCAGAAACAATGGAAATCAAATCCAGTTATGGATAATCCTTAAAAAATGAGAAGAACTGCTAAGATCCTCCTAAAGTCTTTGCAGTACTTGTCTGTTCCAGCTCATGGGAACGTGAAATTATCTGTCTTCACCCTCCCTTTTTAGAAATGTTCTTGCCAGACACACATCACAGTAACCATGGTAGGACATCACCTGGCTCCTTCATGAAGTGAAAGAGGATGTTTGGACATGGTAAGGCAAGAATCTCTCCAGCATCTGCCTCTGGCCAGCACAGCAATTTGTCCCAAGTTCTCTTGCAACCTCAGGCAGAAAGTGAAAAATATTTTTAAGCATGGTTAAATTTGAGCAAAATAAAACCCTAAACCTTTTTAAACTTTGCCACTCCACCACTTCCATATCTTATAAAAATAGTTTAGCCACAGGTTTTATTATGAGAAATAAACACCCCCAGAGTGCTATTTAATCTGCTTTAGTTAAACCCCTGTGTTAGACTGAGGTGAGTTTTCCGAAAGAATGCAATAAATGAAGAGTAATGATGGAAGAAAAAAGGATCAGATCATCATAATTGTTCAGGGGTTGCCCTATTTTTAAAGATCAACATACCCTCACAAACAAGCAAACATGATGCCAAGGAATGGGACAAGGGCACAAGGATTCACTCTGATAAATTGACTGTCCATATTTGAATGGGAAGGACACTGGAAAAAAGAAAAGAATGGGAAGGAATGGGAGTAGATGGAAGAAGAGCTGACAAGGCAGCAGCACATGGGACCATAAATAAAACCCTCATGTCCTTTGGCAGCCTGGCCATGTCCTGACTCTGGTCCCTTCCCTCTCCCTCACACATGGGTGGATACCTGGTGATGTTGCATTTCCATGCTCTCGTGGGGCCTCCAGACATTCAACCTCCTTTTTCTTCAGCTCTACCATTAAATCACATTCTGGGTGGACATTCCCAGCAACCTAAAGGTAGGAGAGTTTTGGGGGATTAGTTGGAAGGGAAATTGGATGGGATCTCATCAGGCATTAAGTCCAGACCTACTTTTTCATCTAACAAGGCTGGTTTAAGGACATAGAACAGTGGTTAGGGTTTCCATCCAAAGGCTGCTACTGTCTCTGCACAAGCTGGTAGTTACAGCTCTGTACTGGAAAGTTTATAAACGCCTCTGGCTACATTCATAATAAAAGATCTCTTTGCTAGAGCCTGAGTTTGAGTGCAGGATTCATTTCCACCCTAACTTTAGCTAGATCCTGTTAAATATGGCCCCAGAAAGGCACACTGCACCTGGTCAGGCTCATTTTCTTATCAGTGAAGGGCCCAGTGCTGCAGGAACCTGTGCACAGGCAAAGCCCTGCCAACCTCCAAAGAAGCATCATCATGAAATCACAGGCAATTTCTGCAAACCTGTCTCCTGAAAGAGCTCTTCACTCCAAAAGGAGTGAATCTGTTCTCTCCCTTCTGCCATCTGCATTTTTCTACACAGGGTAGGAGGCAAAATTCCTTTATTGGTGAACAAAAAAAGCACTCTGCACCAAAGCATTTGTTGGTTTGGTATGATGGTGTAAAGAAAAAAGTGACACACAGGGTTTTAATAGCAGGAGACATTCAGTTCTTTAGTCCTTATTTAGACTTATATGGGAACCACAGAAGGATCTGAAGTCATCCAGAGAACTTTGGGTAGCCAAGGACAAAATCTGCCCAGGCTGTTACACCCAGACTAGTGAGGATGCTCCCACTGGGCAGGAGTGCACAGGACTATTTCACATAAATTAAAAAAATGTGCCTTGTCCAGCTTTAACCTCTGTCCCCAGTCCCCAAAGATGAGTTGTGATCAGAGACAATCTGACTTTTATCTCTATGCCCTGGCCACTGGTGCTGGTGTGTTCTGCATGTGTGAATATAGACACAAAAACAGAGACAAAACAGAAAATAAGCCCAGGATGAGACTTGCATGGTGAACAGGTGGCTGGCATATGGCTCAGTTTGCTTCCACCCAGAGAAGATTCATATTCAGGGAATTTGGAAAATAACTCTCTGACTTTCAGTTCATTCAGAGGGCAGATTTTATCCTTTCCAGTATGCTAGTGTTTCCCCTCCATGTTAATGTCCATGTCTCATGTTGGCCTGCAGAGCATTTGAACTGCATATTGACCAAAAATTTGAGGCTCTCAGGCTGCTGGAGAGCACTGCATTAATTACACAGCATTTGTTTTTCTGGGGTTTGGGCCCTGGTAGTTAATAATGTAATTATCTCCACATGTATGCCCTGCAAGATCATCTGCTTCCCATTTACTGCATTTTTAGGAGGATGTGGTTTTCCTGCCAAATTTGCAGACAGCAGTGCCATGGATCAGTTTAAAGCAGAAGTGAAAAGCAGGAATCCTTCTCCAGGTTGAATGGAGTTTGGTGTGTGTGAGAGGAGGGTAACTGTGGATGGATGGATGGATGGATGGATGGATGGATGGATGGATGGATGGATGGATGGATGGATGATAGATGGATGGATGGAGCAGAGCACAGACATTTCCCTCCCCAAGGAGGAGGAAATCTGTGGGATGCCCCAGGAATATCATCCAGATCAGCTAAACCAGGGGGTCTAGGGAGACCCTACATTTATCTTCACTAAAAAATGCAATGTGAGGCAGAATTACAGAAAATTGGCATATGTCTTGAAAATCTTTGCTATCTTGATGCCTCTTTTCATGCCAACATATGTTATTTCTCCCCTTGTACTCACCCTGGACAGTAACTGCAGGAAAATACCCTAACCACAGTGTATGACAGCTATTGCAAGAAGTAGCTTTATTAGTCAGTAGAAAAAACAGTCAAATTATTCACTGAATATCTCTTTTACAACATTCTCTTGGTTCAGTGAACTGTGCCCAGAAAAACCTCAGCAGGAGGAAATGCACCCATTTGCACTATTCTAAATTATTTCTCCTGGCAAAAAGCATTGCTAGATTTTGCCTGTCAAAACTCTCTTTGCTCTCTGAAATGTTCATGGCAAGAGCAAAGCTTGTTTGGCTCATTCACCAGTCCAGGAAACTCCAGGAAATTATTTTTTTCCCCTTTTACTTTCTAAGTCTCCAGACTGTGAAAACACTCAATTTAGCACATGCATCTTGAATGAAAAGATGAGGCTGATCAAGTACCAGGTATTTAAATTGTAGCCTCTTCCTTCAAGAAGAACCAGCCTTAGGAGGTGCTGTCACAGTTTATTTTCAAGTCAGCCCTAACCACTGCCTGAGCAGACACTGAGTGCCAGATCTGATACAACAGAAACTCAGGTTAAATAAATGAGAAAGATTTATTCCACTCCCAGGCTATGTTTTAGGCATATTTATCACCTCAAACTCTTTACCTCTAGCAGACCCCAGTTAAGGGGATGAGAGTCAGTTTCTTAAGCATTCCAAACCTCTCCAGGAGCTGAGTTCATGTTTTCCAGAGAAAGCATATTTTGGGAAAACAGAGGGCTGCTTTTCCACAATTTTATACTCAAATGAGGATTGTTTATCTATCCTCTAATAGGCAACACATACTAGGATGTTTTCATTATACACTAACACATAGACTTGGTTTTGATCAGTATATAATAATATAGCAAGCAACCCAACTTTGTAGAAAAAAAATTCTGTTTCTCTTGGGTAAATGGGGCAGGTTCTTACAGAGACCTTCAGTCATATTTTGAACCATTAGCACTAAATCGTGATATTCTACTTAAGACAAATTACACTGATCTACTCCTAATTCAGGGAAGCGGGTTTCTCACACAGGTGGCACAAAGGAATCTCTCGTTTCATATCAGTAAAAAGTCTATTCAGCCATTTCACAGTGGTTTATTTTCCTCAATGAAGAAAAAAACCCAAGCTGCTGTGCCACCCCTCATGAAATGTCCCTTCAGGGAAGAGATTCCCAGGAAAGAAGAAAGGATACAGAGGAGGCAAAAGGAAGATGCTGAAGATGTGATTATTCTCAAATGCAAAGATAATACCCTGCCCTCGATTTGCACAAACCTTTCCTGATACTGGTGTGATCCTGGATCTTGGTTTGCCAATCTCTGTCCAAAGTGAAATAACACCAAGACCTCCAAGCTTTTTAATGGCTTTGGCTCTTTCTAAATCTGCCCTAAACATCTCTGTTGGTTCCACTCTTTTGTTACCTGCAGAATCTCAGCTGCTCACATGCCAAGTAATACCAGTGCTGCCACTAAGGCAGATGAAATTGTAACAAAAAACCTGCAGAATCTGAAATGAAAGAAAATTCTATCACAACTCATCTGGTGTAACAGCCCTCCTCCAGTTTTTTCTTCTTTGTCGCTGTCTTTCAAAGCCCCCACACACAAAATAAGAGTTTCTCTTTATGTGTTTCTCTTTACTGAGTGTGTCATAAGAAAGCAGAGAAATAAACTGATATAAGCATGGATCCCTTCTGCTGCTGTTCACACTTGTCATTGCATCTTGCCTTGTTTAACTAGAATCCAAAACAAACAGAGAGAAAAGAAACTCATTTAAAAAAATTTTAAAATAAAGCTGTATCTGACCATCTGCTCCCACAAGGAAATGAACAATTATTGAAACACAATGAAGAAAAAGCTTTTTTTCATGCAATTACTTACAAGCACTGCCAGACTCAGGGTGTGCAGAGCACAGTGATATAAAGAACAAGAGTTCATGTTCCAAAGCAAGACACAGACCTCACTTCTTCAGCTTCTCTTAGCATCTTTCACCTGCTTTTTGACTTCTCTTTCTCCTCTCAGTTACTGATTTGAAGCATTTATCTTTTTGCACAGAAGTGACGTAACAGGGATGTGAAGTGGGAGATTAATATTAAAAATTCTCCATGCTGTGTTTAAGCTTTGCAACTTTTTGACTTTGCTCACAGACTGGACTGGATGGATTGAGTGATTGATGCCAGGATTATGGAAATTCTCTATGCTCCTAGCAAGACTAATTTCTCTCTTTTAACACAAAATGGTTTTGGGGGGATGGACAGTTCTAAAGGTTACCAATCCCATATTAAATCAACATCATTGGCATAAGAGAAACACTGTCCTAACAGTTATTTTCAATTTTTTATAATGAAACCTTTTTGTTATGCAAGTCCAGCGTATCTGAGTGTTTTTATGGAGTGTAATGAGCACAGTGCTACACTTCAAGATGCAAAATCAAACCCTCACAGGCATGTGAACACAAATTTTGCTGTGTTTGGGCATTGAGTTCAAGGCAAAATTCACAGAGGATTCTTCCCAGTTTGCTTCAGACTTCTGAAAGTTCAGTGTCTGAATGTTAATGAGTCAAGTCCTTTAGCCATAGTCTAGAAAAACAAACATTCAGCTCATTCATCTCATCCTGAGCTTCAAGGCAGGGCAGCTGAATCCCACCCCAGAAATACCCATTCTGACTCACAGCTAAAGGAACACTTATTTCATTTTTCTATCAGCTGGTACCATCTTGAATGACTTCAAACTCCCCATCAATATTAGGCAAGTGTCAACATTGCAAGTTCAGAGACTCAAGATATGAAATCCTTTTCAAATATTGTTCTCTGCTCTTCTCTTCTCCTATCATGCCATTCCTTAAAGTAATTTATGAACCCCAGCTCCCAACCTCCCACAACAATCCATCCTACAACCCTGTTTCCACCTCTGGCACTGCTCTTTGTCCATCAACCCTGCTCATCTTTCTTCAGCTATTTCAAGTATCTTCTGTCTGCTCCTCTACACAGATTATGGGAATGCTGAGAGCCTGCAAAGGAGCCTCTCACCTGCCAGAGCCACCACAGCTGTGAGGAACTGAAGCTGTACCTACTTTTGGGAATATCGGTGGGATTGAAGCCTCCAGGGCTTGGCTGTAGTTGTGTCTGGGAGAGAACTGAGCATTTCCAATGCAAGAAAGTGTATTTGGAGACTGAAGAGGGCAACTTTTCCTTGCAGTGCATGCTTAAGGATTTGTTCATTTTCTCCAAAAGCCTTACACCTTCCTTAGTTATGCTAACTTTCAAAGGCTTGTCTAAAGCAAAATTAGGGCTGTGTTCCTGTCAGTTTTCCAGAGGATGAAGCTCTAGACTGTTAAATGAACAATTGTAAATGTATTTATCATGGGCAAATCTCATACTTTTTTCCCAAACTCATTTCAGAAGCTACAGAATGTCAAGAACTGAAAGATACAACTGAAGAGGTGTAACATGGAAAAATTTCAGCCCATAATGTTAAGTCTACTTTTTCAGTGGCTATGAAATAAAGCTGGTAAGTGAAATTAAACCTACAAAGTTTTAAATCACCATCACACAAACCTTCAAAATAATGTTTGGTGATAATATTCGGTTCTTACTTGCATTTTGCTGATTACCTTATATTCTCATTTGGGGAGAGTGTAAATATTCAGGTTGTCCTGAATTCAAAGTGCTTTCAGTAGTAAGACTACAACAGTTAGATGTCTTACAAACATTTAATATTATTATAACCCTTGAAAATCTTATAAAACCATCATAAGCAGTGCTGTCATTACAAGCTCATGCCAGAATTTGGACACATTCTCTCTCCCCTCCTTCCCAAAAACATTACGGATTTCAGAAAAAGATTCTGACTGAGTGTCCATCATGTTTCCTGCAATGTATCAGTGCTTTAAGGTTAATAATCTTTAGGCTGCCCCACAAATTGTCTACTGACCATGCACCCCACAGCCACTTCAACCAGTGTTTGAAGAAGGATCATGAACAGACCCATTGCAGAAGAGCAACATCTCCCATTCCATGGGGATGCACTTTTTTTGGTCCATGTATTAGAAAAATAAATTGCCTCTGAGTAAGCTTCTGCTGTCCACATCAGAATTTTCCATTTCAGCCACCACATCTGAACCATCCCATGTGTTTATTCAGTGCTGTTGAAGTCATGGCTATAAAAACCACAGAAGGCATTGCCTGCCACTTTTCATCCTAGGAGGGAACACAGAGAAACTCCAGTGCACGATATCTCAAAAGGTTTTAATTTTTCAGGCAGAATGAATACTGGTATGGAGGGGTTTTATGCTGAAATCTACAATGTAGGAACTCTGCTCACCATGGATCATCTTGGAAAAACCTGGCTTTTCTGTATTTTCATCCTGGTTCTGCCAGTCTGCAGTGCAGACATTCCATTAAAATGAGTTCCTTCCTACTGTCGCTGTTGTGTGCAAATTTCCAGCTGTTTCTGGTTAAGGAGAAAGACATGTCTAAAGGAAAAGAATGGGCTTATGGGTATTTTTATTATTATTATTTCATTAAAATGGCTTTTTTTTTTTTTGCATTTAAACAAAAAAGTTTCCACAATAACCAACAGAACTTCGAGCTGCTTAGTTTCACCATAAAAGAACATTTGAAGAACCAGCTTTCAATAGCCACAAACTTCTCACTTCCTACCACTCCTTGAACACCACCACCTCTGCAAGACTTCTCCCACACTCCTCCTGAGCACAGGCAGGCACGTAGTAGAACAGTAATTACTACATCTTCTCTCCACTCATCACCTCCAGCATCAACACACTCCCTGTTCCAGCAGCTCCTCTGCCAAGTTTTCTAGTGGTGGCAGTTTGCCTTCAGGATGCCACAGCTGCAGAGGAGACACTGGATATGCAGTAAAAGGAGCTGTTTTTCTCCCCATGAGCTTTCCAAAGGTGGAAACCTGACATTTTCACGACTCTCTCAAATCCCTTCCAGCTCTGTGTGGAATGGTTTTAGTTTTTGTAAAAGTTTGCACAGTTTATAAAATATCGGCTGGTTTCACAACAACTTGTTGCCTCCTCCCAGCCCTGCCCATCCCTGTTCCCCACACATAGAACAACATCCCAAAACTTACAAAAACTTCTTGGGGTTTCTTGGCCACTTTTTCTCCCTCTACAAGACCCCTCCATTATCACAGAATCGCAGAATTCGTTGGCTTGGAAGAGACCTTAAAATCATTCAGTCCCAGCCTTCCACAACACCAGGTTGCTCCAAACCCCATCTAGGCTGGGCTTCAATACTTCCAGGAATGAGGTTTCCACAACTTCTCTGGGGAAACTCTTGTACTTACAAAGACATTTACACAGAGATTAATCTACAGCTGAAATGTTCAACAGGGTTGGACAGGGCTTGGAGCCACCTGGGATAGTGGAAAATGTCCCTGTCCATGGCAGGGGGTTGGAACTGGTCTTGATCTAAACCAGTTCACGATACATTATTTTAATTTTCTTATGATAATGGAAAGGTGGAGGAAACCTTAACACTCTAAATTATTATTTCACAATTTAACTAAAAAAAAGGCAGTAACAAGTTATTCCATTGACATGTAAACCCCATGGATTTTCCAAAGCTAAACACAAACAATTTGAGTTGAATAGTTAGAGCTTCTGAGATGACATTGCTGCAGCTTCATATTTCCCAAGGAACATGCCCCCAAAAAAGGTATTAGAATTCAACATTGAGGGAAAAAAAGCTACAGGTGGCATTTTTCTTGAAGTCATTAATGCAACCAGCAGTGTCCACAGTGAAAATGGAGCTAGGAATGCTTCTGTGGGCTACCAAGGTCACCCTGATGGCACAGACTGCTGTGGTGAAAATTGTAATACTGGGATCAAATCTACAGAGAAATAAAAGGACATTTCAGTCTCTACTGTTGTCTCACAGAGTCTCTTATTGCCATGATGATTCTTTAATACTATTGAAATTTATAGAGAAGGTGTGGGAGGGGAGGGAGGGGACGAGGAAGGATGGGCCTAAGTCATTTAACCACAGCTCCAGGAATAGGAGGTTTTGCTGTGCAGACGTGATGGATGAATGTTTTGTTTCTGAGGAAAATAGGGAATGTTCAAAACTTTACACAGCCCAGAGCTCAAAGAAGAATTATAACTCAGGCCCTGAATTATCATTTTTTAAGACTGAAAAATATGCAGAGTCAATAATTATGCAGTCAAGTTAATTTTTCCTTGCAGTGTAAGAGGTTGATAATGTTGCCCCTTTTGCTCCTATCATCTATGAAATGGGCTGATGGATTTCAACTAAAGCTGCTTAAACAGCACAAAATGTAGAGCATTAACTCTTTATCATGTGAAATTAAATCTATTTAGGCACTAGAATATTGGGGCCTGTACCAACCTGCTTGATTGATTTTATTTCCACTGGGATAATTTTTTTGAGCTTGGCAGCAAGGCTATGGCACAGCTATGTGCCCACACAGTGCTTCAGCTCATCTTCCCTCTCCCATTTCAACTTCTTTTGGGCTGCTCCCTCCCTGCCACAACTATTCGTGGGCATTGGAGGGAACTGGAGCAGGGAGCTGAACCAAACTAGAAATACACATTTTTTTTCCCCCCGAAGAATCAGTTCCTCAGGGCACCTAGTAAATGCTGGCAGTGGAAGACAGAAGGCAACCCCTGGTATGGGAGTGGGGCCAGTTTTAGGAGAGGGCAGGTGCCCATCAGGTGATGTTTCCAGACAGACTTTGCCATTTGAGTGCTGCATTTAACATTTCTCCTAACGGGGAAAAAAAACCCAGAAGTTTTTGGATGCTGAAATATTGGAAGGTGATTATTGTGTGGTCCAAAATATCTCTCTCTCTTGCTCCTCTTTTAATTGGTTACTCATTAGGACTCTGCAAGTTCTAAAAATGGTCCTTAAATGCATAATTCTTCATTATCTGCTGGTCATACTCAACCAGTG